TCTTCACAGAAGCAAAGCCCAAACCACACCCACTGCCCTGGAGTCGATTCTGATCCACAGCGCCCCTAGAGGACAGAGTGGAACTGCCCACAGGGTCTCCAAGGCTGTCAGTGTTTATGGAACCAGACTGCTTCATCTTTCTCTTGTGGAGCACTTGGTGGGTTTGAACTGCTGACTGAATATTTAACCGAATATTTGGTTAGCTGCCGAATATTTTAGCCACTACGCCACCAGGACTCTGTTTCATTACATTTGAAGGGGAATAATTTATGCCTGTCCCTTTGTACCATCTGACTAAACTGCATCAGATTGGAGGAAAAATGAAAATTTTCAATGTTGACAGGACAAACTACTTGGCAAAGGGAGCCTGCTCTTCAGGCCAACTCTTCCACAAGTGCTGTCCGCAAGCCTCTGGGTTAAGGCCTCGGTCACGCCCCAGCAACCTCCCTGGAATCCTTTTTAATTTAAGTACGTGAACTATATGGAAAAGAGTGAAGTCAAACATAAACCACACAATCTGTCATGTAAGAAACTTCATATACACAGCCAGCCTAAACTAAGAGACATGGAGGGAGGCCTGACTAGTACTGGCTGTAGTTTATGTTATACGTTTTTGCATTTTTTATGAGATTAAACATGATTTATTAAACATGCATTTGCTTAATCAGTGCGTCAAGTCTGAAAGGACGTAAATACTGAGACACATTATTTTTTTACGTTAAGTTTCTCATTTTATCAAGCATTTCCTACTGACGATGAGGCAAAGAAAAAATGTAAGTAACGTCTGCCAGGGTTTCCTTATGGAAAGGTAGAGTCCTGTGGGATACCATCCCTCGATTTTTCCTGAAGGACCTGACGGACACTTCCTCAAAAAAATAAAGAGTCTGGAAATAATTAGAAACTATTAAGGTATCGAAAAAAAGTTGACCTGCAAACTAAATCTGCTATTCATCAAGGAACACAATAGATGCCGAGTCATGTGATGGAAAAATGATATCCATGCTGAGAAATGAGAAGCACCTCCATCACAGCGGCCTGGCCAGCAAGACCTGCAAAAGCCCAGGCGGAAGACACGGTCAGGGCCCCGCAGGACGCAGTGACACCAACCGAGCAAGTGTGATTTCGTGCAACAAAACTCACGTTCATTACTTTAGTTCAGTTCCTTCCGCTTTAAAATAACAGGAAGCTAGTGTTGGAAGAGGCCACTGACTGTAGTGCTAACACAAACTAGAGAGAGAAAACAGGAGCTCACTATTAATTCGATTTTTTTTCCTGCTCATAAGATCTATATGGAAAAGGAAATTATTCAGAATACAGTGAAAAAGAAAAAAAAAGGCTTTGGTTACTGGTAACAATTACTATCTCATGATGATAGTGCTAATAGCATCTTCAAATCAAACACGATATTCTGACCATAAGAGCATTTCTGAAACTTAAAATATGTTTTCCTCTGAGACCTCAAATTCCATGGGGGAGGAGGGGTGGACTTGATGGCATATCCTTCTGAGTTTAAAAGGCTGCCCATATGAACCGAATTATCCTTGACATGTACCTTCAGACATTTGTAACGTGATCGCATGTAAATTTAGACCATATTTTGGACACAAACCACTGGCAAAAGTCCGTTTACTCAGGAGCTTAAATAAGGAGAGAGAAGCTGATAACCTTCACAAAATGGAAAAGTGGAGAAGCTGACATGAAATTCCCCTATGAAAGGCTTACGGAATTAGGAGGTGGGACGTGTTGTAGCAAATAAGTAACAGCAACAAAGGAAAACAAATGCCAGAGCAGGACAGCTGACAATTTCCCTTCCTTTCCCAGTGATTAGCTGTCTATGTTCTCCTCAATGGTTTAGCAAATTTGGGAAAGGAAGAGCATGTTTTAAACAAATAAGTAAACTGGAAAATTCCCTTTGCAAGGAAAATGAATTCCAACACAGACTGAAATCACAGTGTGGATACATCTTCACTGCATTTACCACCATGGGAACCAAACTACGCACATAGTAACAAGACAGTTACTCAAGAGTCCGACTAATTTAGGTACTTTACTGATCATTGTAACAACATGGAGCTATCAATGGCGGCACAGTGGTTAAAGCACCCGGCTGCTAACCAAAGAACCCAGTAGCTTCTCTGTGGGGGAAAAAGGCAATCTGGTTCATGAAGACTGAGAGCCTGGAAAACCCTGTGGGGCAGTTCCACTCTGTCCTCTAGGGGCGCTGTGGGTCAGAATGGACTCCACGGCAGTGGGTGTGGTTTGGGCTTTGCTTCTGTGAAGACTGACAGCCTGGGAGACCCTGTGGGGCAGTTCCACTCTGTCCTCTAGGGGCGCTGTGGGTCAGAATGGACTCCACGGCAGTGGGTGTGGTTTGGGCTTTGCTTCTGTGAAGACTGACAGCCTGGGAGACCCTGTGGGGCAGTTCCACTCTGTCCTCTAGGGGCGCGGGGAGTAGGAATTTGACCTGACAGCAGTGGGTTTTGGGTTGATCAACACCTCTACAAAGGGCTGGCTGTAAAATAATACAATGAGAAGACAATTCCGAAATCTGTTGGTTTAAAGATTCATCAGGCTGGTCTCTCTCTTGGCAGAAAGACGGCCTCCAGGGCAGTGATAACTCCGCAGGGAGCCCCGCCATGCTCCACGAGATGCATTAAGGCCTGCCTCGGAGAGTGCTAGGCCGAGCATTCCCAAAGCATCCTGAACACATTTTCCCTCCCGGAGACCTGCTGTTGCTGTGGTTGGCCCACTAATGGGTGGAAATGGCCCATGAGTCACGCTGATGGCAAGGAGCAGAGAAAAATGGCAGACCACATCAAGAAACTTCGCAGACATGCTCATCCAGTCCTTTGGTGTCCTTAAACGGAAGGCTCCCACATCCCTGGAGCACCCCAGGGCCTCCAAAGACGGTGTTCACGCTGCAGCTGCACCCCCGTGGAATTCCACAGCAGCACCTGGGAGCCCCGCGTCCACTTCCACGCGGCTGAGGGCAGATCCCGCGTTTGTCTTTAAACATATTTTGTGGAAATCGATGCTTCCATTTAACAGAAAATAACATAACAACTGATGTTATTCTTCTGCGGACTGGTATTTTTAAGTCACTTCGATGAGGTACATGAATCAATTAAGCCCTTGAAATATTTAAACACACTCTGAATTATTTAAAAATTCAACATAAAAATCAAACAGAGAGGCATATTTATAACATTGCTCTGGTGGAACAGTGCAGAAAGTGCCTGCGCAGAGAGCTTAGGTTTCTCTGTCTACGTCCCAATCAATATCTGAGGCGCGGTTTCCTCTCTCGGGCCCTTAATGGCAGGGATTCCTGGAGCCAGGCAGTGAGTAATGCTAGACGTGTGATTAGATGATGAGGCCGTCAAAGCACTAGCTCCTAACGCTCATCCCTCTTGACTCCTCTGAGTTGCAGTGAAACCCAGAGCTCGGGAAGAAGGAACCATAGGTCCTCTCTGCCCTTAAGCGTGTTCTCTTCTTTTCTCTCTTTTTTTGTGGATGGGCATCATCATGAAGCTACAAGGCCCGGAGCAAGCCTCTTGGAGCGTTCTTGAACTCAGGACTTCAGCGTCAGATGAAGGGGTCCGATGCCTGCCGATAAAGCGCTGCCGCCACGGGACGCTGTCTTCCTTCTCTCCTGCCTCCTTATACCCCTCCTGGTGCAGGGGCAGTCAGCCATGGCCTCACTAGGACCATGTTCGTGGAGAAGGCGACCACAGACAGGACGATGGGTGAGTCGTGTTTGTTTGACTGGGTGCGTGTCGTTTGTTTGCGCTGGTGCCGCCAAGGCTCAGCTGGAGCCCTGTCAGTGTTCCTTTGGGCCGTGGCCGTGGCTCTGGGAGCTCTCAGGACAGCAACGAGAAACGGTGCTGAGTGTGTCCTCTTCATGGAGGTTCTGGGGGTGTTCACTGACTACTCCCCACGGTCCTGCCTAAGCCCTTCCTCATGCTGCCACCCCAGTATTTACACTGCTCTGATGATTGGGGGCACCAGGGATGTGAGGAAGCCAGTGAGGAGGGAGCCCTTGGTCCCCACTTTAGTCAACAGAAAACTGTAATGTGATGCTCGTTAGTTCCTTGTAATTGCTAAGGAAAGGCAGGGACACTCAACAATTCCATCTGCAAAGCTGAGGATCAAAGGCAAGTGGCACTTTTAGAATTCACCTTGGCATATGCAAATGAGCCAGCAATAAAGGTCACGGCAAGGTGGCCCCCCAGGAATGCGTGCAAGGCACTTGGTTTCCATGAGCACTAATCTAACAGGGAAGCAGCAGCCATGTAATTCGAGACAATAAATTCCGCTGCGCCATGTTTAAAGGGTGGGGTGCGAGGAAGGTATGGGGGGATGTGTAACCAAAGGCCTACTTACAGAGACACAAAGATGGGGGGACGGAAGGACGGGAAGGGTGGGAGAGAAGGAGACGGCTAGAGGGAGCGGACAAAGGGGACAGGACATGAGTCAACACTTACATGTCAGGTCACTGATGGAGGGAAAGTTCTCAACGTAAACTACGTGCTTCATCTACGGGATCAGAGGTGGGCGCTTCCACGGTGTATAGACACACACGGGGGTTCGTGATTAGCTACGTGTCTAACATGCTCGGTTCAGGAGAGTCGAGGGAAGGGGGCCATACCTGAGAACAAAGCAGCATGACCAGTTCGACCACAGACGTGCTGGACTTCATGCAGACAAGGCCTGCAACGAACAAACGCGAACACAAATGAACAGACAGCGGCAGCCGCAGCCCTTGCAGGGCCGCTCGCGAATACAGTGTTCAGTCATAAAAACATTCTTTACAATAGCACCCGCGAAAGAAAATGAACAGCAAGGTCCCCGCAAATATCATTTGACTGCATTACCGTTTACGAGTGTTCTGATGTTCAAGGCGTGAGGGGGACGGAAACACTCGGAGCAGGCTGGAACCACTCCTTTGGTCAAAGCGTTTCTTACATTTCAACCAAGGGAGGGATGGGGAAGGAGGTCTGGTGGTGCAGTGGCTAAACCCGAGCTGAAAGGTTGCAGTCTGACCCACCAGCTGTTTCTCAGGAGAAAGACGGGGAGTCTGTTTCAGCAAAGACGGACAGGCCCGGAAACACCGGGGGCAGCTCCACTGTGTCCTACAGGGTGGCTGCGAGCCAGTGTCCACTTGACGGAGCTGCAGTTTGCGTTGGGGATGGTTAGGAAACTGAGGAGCTGGGACCAGCACCTTTGATGCCCGCGGCATCTTCCGGAGCCCAAAGCAATGGCCTGTGAGGATCTGCCCACGTTCCTGCCAAAGGCAAAGCTAACGTAGTTTACAAAGTCCATTCCCCGGGCCTTCAGGTGTTCAACCACTTTGTAAAGGTCCTAAAATCATGACTTTCATGTGCCACAAACACTTGTTAAATGTGTTTATCAAACAGCCCCTGCTCTGCACAGCAACTCTCCACACACATGCCGGGAGGGCGGACCGGACGTGCCGTTCCCTGCTCAGCTCCTATGTGCTAGGCATGTGCTAGGCATGTGCTACGTGCTTTCACGTACATGACAAACCCCACTGCCGTCCAGTTGATCCTGACTCCTATTGACCCTGTACCACAGAGCGGAACTGCCTCACAGGGTGCCCAAGGCTAGTAATCTTTCTGGAAACAGACTGCCTCATCTTTCTCCCGCGGAGTGGCTGGTGGGCTCGAACCGCCAAGCTTCCGGCTAGCAGGGCAATGGAGCTCCTTTAGATTATATGGTCTCATTTAATTCTGGTGACTCTGTGACGTGGTGTCACCACTGCATTTCTACCGGTGAGAAAAGATTTTTCTCCAGGCACCTTTTGAACATCCACTGTTCATCACTGACCGGGGACCGCTAGAGAGCGCCGTGCGCAATGACAAAGCGGTCAGGAGGCGTCTAGTTATTTTTAAGTGCCCCCCACATAAGGGAAGATGTGAGCAAAGATCAGGAACGCGATCTCAGGGTGTCAGCCACTTGGAAGACGTTCTTAAACTTTTCCCCTGGTTTTCAGACGGAGGTAATGGAATGAAGAGTTTTCCTTCTACTGAGGATTGAATGCAATCAATAACGGCATCAGTCCCGTAAGGAACACGAGATTGTCCATTAGTTGTGGCTAAGTGGGAGGGAGAAGTGAAAGCAGTTACTTTGTTTTTTTTGAAGGTGATTTCACTAAACGGTCTCAATGCCTTCTGGACACCCCCGGCCGTGGGTAAACACTGTTTTGCGCCCACTTTGCTAACAGCGCTTCCCTGATTGCACAGACAGGCCCCTGGCGTTCTGTCTACGGGATGCGAGGACAGACAGCTAACTAATGAGATCGGAGGGACGGAAGGGCTCCTTGGGGGGAGGAGCGCTGTAACTGATCAGCAGGGCTGCTCCCGGCCACTGTCACCTGCTGCGGCTCAACTATTTCAATTCTGCAGAAGGGTAAGCAAAGGGCTTTGTGAGCACAGTGATGGTGAGCGGCGGTCGCACTCCACCCCGTTTCATACGTCAGGCTGTGAGGCTTTGGTACAAAGAAGGACTCATCGTGCACGCTGTGTGTTAGGGGTCCTGATGTGTAACGATGGGAAGTGAAAATTAGGAAAATGATGCCACTGCATTCGCTTCTCAGACTAACTTTGTGGGAACCTTACGTCACGAGAACATGGACAATTTCACAGATAATACTGTTCCGTCAGAAGAAAACTAGAACCCAAAGCTTCACCCACAGGACGCTTTGTTCAAAGGCCTGACATCTCGGGGTGGAGCCACAAGCCTGCAACCTGCAAACTGCTCTCGTTCCTCGGAGCAATCCACCGCGGCTCCAGCCCCCCAGTGCAGCACACCTTTACTGGGCTGTCACACAAGTGATTTTGAACAGAATGAATGAAGGGGGTGTGCTCAAAAGTAAGGAAAAACCAAAACAGAAGGCAGCTGAGCTGACACTGTGATCCCAACAGAAGCAGCGTCTTTCTGAGACAGGAGGTCAACTCCAGAGCTTCGGAGGGGCTGCTGGAAAGGCAGGATTGGCTGGTGACACTTTGTCCTCATGTGTTTCCAAAACAAAACAGCACTCACATTTCAACAGTGGAGATTTAAGGAAGCACCATGAGTTTGCGAAACCTTAGCAAAAAGTTCAGAAAACCAAACTGATCCAAGTGATGTTGTAACTAACTCAAAGGCTGTCTATGCATAAAACAAACAGTTGATGAGTTTATGTCCCAAAAAGGGGCCCTTTTATAGCTTTGTGACCAGCAAGCAAGTCACAATCAGGTTCAACTCGTTTCTGGTTTCCTTGTGGGACCAAGGTCAGTGTCAGTACCAGGTACCGGCAGAGATACACAAGGGACTGTCCACACCTTACAAATTTCAGTTCCAATCTAAGATGGTCCAGCATCCACCTAGGGCTTTATCATTTACTAAGCATGATGAATGCACGCAATCTCATGTGAAAGGAGCTCTGGTGGCACAGTGGTTAAAGTGCTTGGCTGCTAAGAAAGGGCAGTGGTTCAAACCCACCAGCTACTCTGTGGGGGAAAGCTGGGCCAGCTTCCAGTAAGGACTGACAGCCTTGGAAACCCAATGGGGCAGTCCTGTCGTCACCTGGGGTTGCTGTGAGTCAGAACTGACTGGAAGGCAGAGGGTGTGGCGTGGGTTTAACTCATTCGACTCTCTCACAGCTCCATGAACCCCTCACTATTATTTTATCTGATGGTTGCAAACCAGATGTTGTGAGTGGCCTAAACGCTACAGGCAGCGTGCGGAACTGGGCCTGGCGAGCCCATGTCACGCTGGGGCTGAGCTCCAGGGACGACCCAACATTAAGATACTGGCCACGTGCGACAGTGAGGAAGGTGGTGCTGGCTGAGTCCCAGCTGGTGAGGTAGGAAGCTTCCTGAAGAAGGTAGCGGCGTGGTGGGCAGACATGAGGACAGAAGGCATGAGCACAGGGGCCAGCGGGCAGAGGACACGGCTGGGAAGACTCCTGGGGCTGCGCCAGGGAGTGGGCCAGGAGGGCGGGGCAGCTCAGGGAGAGACCAAGATGCAGGGAAACAGTTCTGAAAGCCAACACGGTAGCACCCGTTATCAAGGGAGGGCAGCAATCCTATGGCCAGGACCAGCAGCCCCTTCCTATTCCACGGCGACTCCCTCCTTGTCAATTAAGAAGGAACCCCCAGAACTGATGTCGGCTTGGTAAGGAAAAGCATGGGAAGCAGACAGTGGTGATGGTGACACAATTCATGTCACTGAATTGTACACTTGTTGTTGTTGTTGTTGTTATGTGCCATCAAGTCGGACCTGACTCATAGTGACCCCTCCTTGGGCTTCCGAGGCAGTATCACTATGGAAGTAGATTGCCCAACCTTCCTTCCGAGGAGTGGCTGGTGGGTTTGAACCGCCAGCCTCCTGGTTAGCAGTCAAGTGTCTTAGGCACTATGCTACCAGAGCTCCCGAATTGTATACTTAGAAATGCTTAAAACGGCAATGTAGTCACATAATTTTACCCACAATAATAATAATAAAAAAAGGAAGCAGGCCTCAAAGGCTCTGTCCACGTGGACCTCACCACCAACAGCTGGTTTGGCCGGTGAGCAGGACACTTCCACCAGCTGCTGTCGCCGGGAGCCGCTGCGTCGACTCCGACTCGTGACCCCACGGGACAGAGTGGAGCTGCTCCCCAGGGCCGCCCCGGCTGTCCTCTGTGGGGGCTGTCACCAGGCCCCTGCTGGGCGGGCTCCGACAGTCAGCCTCTGGTTTGCAGCCAGCGCTTCATCGTTGCATCCGCAGGGTCACTCCTCAGCAGCCACAGCACTAAGGACTCTGAGCAAGGTGCTCAGCGAGCACCGCAGGGACGCCGGCCCCCCAGCACCCGACGGGCATCTGCACCACCAGCGGCAGACATCTGAGCTCCCGCAGCAGGCGGTGTCCATCCAGGTGGTGGCCCACGGGGAGGTCGGCTGCCTCGCTACAACTCTGAGCGGGTCCCACCAACCTCGTGGAAAGATGAGGCCCGCCAAGAGCTGAACGTCTCCGAGCGGCTCAGATACAAGCCTTGGAGATGCAGCAGGTGGGGACATCGTGTGTGTGTATGTGGGGTGGGGCCCCAGATCCAGGCAGCAAAAGAAGAATGGATCTGGCCAAGCAGCAGCCAAAAACACAGGAAAGAAAACCACCTGCCACTTTTCTTTGGCTCACACTGACGGCGGACGGCAAGAAGGCAGGTCCTACTTGGAGAGCTCAGCCCCCTCCGCAACTGAAAACCAACCAACCAACAACTGCAACCAAGAAGAAAGGCAGACAGGATGAAGGGAGCCAGCCTGTGAGATGCGTGGACCCCAGAGCTCGCCTGGCCTCGGCCACAGAGCCCTGTCTCCAAAACACGCGGATAGGCTTGACACGGACCCCTGGGAGGCGGGAAGGCACGGGACGCCGTGTGAAGAGAAACTGAGGGGCGCTCGGGGTCGGGCTCTGTGTGCTGTTGTGCACGTGTGGGGTCGGAGGAGCGGTTTCGGGGAGCACGGAGGAAGCCCCACGTGTGGCTAGCGGGCGCTCCCTGTGGTGGGAGGGTCACGCAATAACTCCCTCCCACAGGCACTCAGCCAAGCAAAGCCAAAGCCTTCCCTCTGACCGGGACCAGGGAACAAGGACAAGAGCTGAGAACCTGTGCAGCCTGAGGCTGGAGGAGTGGGGTGCAGACAGGCTAGAATTGGGGCGAGGCCCTGCTG